CACCAGTTTCAAGATCAGCCTAGATCACTTACATCCGGATCATCTGATTTACCGGATATTGGGAACAGGAGGCAAGAAACGTCTGTTTAGCGTGAAGGAGTGTGACAATCGATTGTGTGTCGAGTGTTGAGAGCAGACCGAGGTGAAGTAATTGAAACGGTCAGACCATCGTGCCATGAGGATCACGAGCAGCTAACATCACAATGCGCTCACCTAGTTACGCTGAGCGCTGACACAGTTGCCCACTAGCAGAGCTGACTAACTACAGACCCATCTCGTTCATGCTCGCACTTCGAAAATCTTTCAAAACTGTAGTTTTTGGTTATTTTGGAGAGTTTTAGCTGTATAAGTGTTGTAGAAGCGTTAACTGCAACACGTAAAACCTTACGGTCCATAACAAACTGGTTTCGGACATGACCCGATTTTATCTAACATGTTTTAAATAGACAAAGTTCCTTTTCATACTAGTTTCAACTAACCGACTTTGTCTGGAAATAAATGAATTACTGTAATTGTATTTGACGGTGAACGGATTTTCTCAAAATAAGCCAATTCGTCTAAACCGATTTTTTACAACGACTTTTTTTTTTACAAGCGAGTTTTGTCTCACAGAAAAACGAACACTTTACGTTTGAATTTAAAATACTTTTGATTGAAATATATATATTTTTGACAAGATGGCAAGGGTTATAATGTAGTTAATTACCTATACAAATGTGTATGAAGCACTTTTATTTACCATTATAAAGACCTAATCATATTGTTTTGCTTTTGTTAACACATACGACTGTCATCCTTGTAAGGTAAGCTCATTATTTTTTCATGTGCCTTAACACTCTCAGTTGTATAAAAATACCATGATGATGTCACAAGTAAATGATGAACTTAGGTACGTATTTACTTTGCGAATGCTTGATGAAGTTCAAGGTCCGTGGCATCATCCGAGGCTCAAGGTCCGTTTTTATCATTCTTTCAATTAAATGTATCCGGTTCTTTTCAGCCGTCCCGGATTCGAAGGTCTCTTTTGAACATAACAATAATTGACTTACCGGTATATCACTGAAATATTCAGTAGGCCTCATTATACATTATTGTTTCGTACAATTTTTCAGTAAATGATCAAGTGGAAAGTGTTTTCAAAATCCTGATAGGCATCAGCATCATCCTAGGAGTCTTTTCAGGGTCGAGACAGCTGGCTTCCTGGTACACGACCCCCTTGGTTCGGTGAAGTGAACTTTCCATAAGTTCAATGGAAACCGCATGATCTCTTTCACACTGAGTTTACATTGAAGAATGACAGGTAATTTGGCATGTAGCTAAAGAAATTGTAGTAAATGATTGACTTTCTGTGGATTTCTTCTTAATTGATTTCCCTAGATTCTTGGTAATAGCGAAGCTGAACTTCAGAGGCTTCGAACTTTTGATTTAAAGGTGCAAATGAGAGATGCGTCCAAAACATAATTAGATTAATTGGTTTGTAAATTTAATTTGAGCTACGTGTAGAAACGCGAATTAGCCACACATACCATTAATATGACAGGTCGCGCCTAATTTAACCTACTTTAGAACTACAGTTACATTTAACTATTTTCAAACTAAGCATTTCTCACTCAGTTTCTCAAACGTTAGGAATTCTTCGGAGTCTGGAACGTCTGAGTTTACGAAGGCAATGAGACGCGAAGGCAGTTGAAAGCAATAAGGAAGAGTTATGCATAACCGCGGTTTATGAGCTAAAAACCAGCGTCGTCTTACCTAGTAAGGATCGCGAACAGCGGCGCCGAAGAACCGTTTGTATGTGATTGTAGAAAATAACGTGTTTAAAGCACGCTATCGTAGAAATGAAGAATGTCTACTGAAAAAATAGTGGTTAAGTATTTATTACTTTCTACATAAATACAATTAGAGTTTTGTCTGTACATTGCGTAGAATCATAAATTTTTCGGTAATTTTTCATTTAATACGATAGGAAAGCCGAAACGCGTGTTATCTTCATTTCTTTCTGTCTGTCTGTCTTTCTGTAACACTCAATATGGCATTTTACGCTCTCTTCTCCGGGAAAACAACACCTAGTTTAAAATAAAATGAAGCAAAATATACAAAAAATATAAACCGAAAATCTGTTTTGAGAACTTAAGTTTTCGAATAACATCTTAACGACGTAATTCAGTTTACAACCGTCTACCAACTGCTGTTAGTTTTATACAGTCTTGATTATTCACCAAGAAGTTTTCTCTGTGGAATTTCCAATAGAGAAGTCATAAATTTTTTCATGGGTAATAATTGCCAAACCTCCTGAAACGTTTGATCGAATCCACTGCTCTCGTCCGGGCAAGCCGCAACAGCAACGGATCGCCAGAGAACATATGATTCAAAATCAGATAGATGAGCTTAAGTGACAAATAATCTAACAATAATAAATAGGCTACTTTTGGCAGATCTCTTAGGCTTTACGTGGCTCGTGGTCTGGGAAAGAGTTTCCCCGGATCAAGTTTCGAGTGTAGGCCTCCAAATAGAGCGCGACAGTAGATAATCGACGATGACACAGAAACCGTCTGCCATTCTACCGTTCTATCACAGTTCCACTCAACATCCTCCTCGCGGGCTTTCAATTAGTATTTCAATTCGCATTCGTATGGAAGACATTCCAATTTCAATCTACAATAGGAATCCTGACGTGGAAATGTAATGTCCCTCGATGCATATAATTTAATTTCAGCGCAATTATTGTGTGTCTAATTTTCAATGGGCTATTCTTATCCATTTTTTAAGTCATGGTCAAGGAAGCATATATTAATTTTAACTTAGTATTTTTAACTAAGTATTCAAGTAAAATACGTTATGATCGATGAGTCAATATTGCATCTAAACTCCTTTATATACATTTGAGCCAATTCATGTGCATATTAACGTCTTTGGTATTTTACAATTCAATTATTAACATGTTACCAATTATTACCACAAGTTTTATTTTTACTCATTTTAAACTTGAAATATTAACGTATTAAAGTATTTAACTACTTGGCTAATATTTTAATTAGTAGTTGCATATTTTAAAATATACGATTAAAATAATTTTGACAGGAATTAAAGCGTGTAGCTTCAATATTAAATTAAATATATTTCTTTCAAAGCTATCAATTATTTACAGTGTAATTTATTTAATGTTGAACTGAACAACTGAACTAAACATTGCACTAAACACAGTCTTTTAAACATATTTAAACATTAAAATTACTACATTTATTGCAACTAAAGTGCAAACGATATTTTGCATTGGTTTTACTGTATTTTTTAAACATTTCTTAACTCCGTACAGAATTTGTCATGGGCTAAAGCTCAATAAACATAGATTACACGTTTTTCTAAAAATTTCGAGATTCTAAAAAAAAAAACTACTGTACCTAAAATGTTTTTGGGGATGTTTTATGATTCAAAATGAAATCAGAAATCGTCGTGTTTGGTTTGGATGAAAATGGTAGAAAATATTTAAGAAAGTGTGCTAAAACGTATTAAAATTATTCCCCTACCATTAGTGTATTGCAAGAATTTTAGCATCTGAATGGGACATTAAAAACGAATGCAAAGCTATCAAATGTAAACGCCGTAAGGAAGTCGCTAACTAACGGATTTTGAATGGTAGGGTATAAAAAACAAAATAACAATAACAATAACAACAACATAAAACAAAACTCGATAAGTACGCATTGTGTCAGTCTAAATTTTTCTAACGAACTAAACTGAAAAACAAAATACTCAACAATCAATAATGATTCTTCAACCTGCTGTAGGTAATAGGACCTAAATCTAAATCTCCAAAATAGAACAACTTTTTCTACTTGTAGGCCTAACTTTATTTACAAAATCAAAAAGCCCAAAAACTACTGCTTCTACAAATGATACACTTACCATGGTAAAGTTATTCCTGAAGCCTGACACCGGAGATCTGTCGGTGACGGACGGACCGGCAAAACTAACACTAACAGACAGAAGAGAGAGGACCGTTCTGCGCCGGCGTCAGGGCAGGCGCACACTAGCAGAACGCAGACGTAGGCTGTTGAACTGCACAGGGCAAAAAAGCGCGTCTGCATTCATTATGGCATATCCTCCGCAGCAGCCGCTAAATACAAACTGTGTCATCTCGTCTGGATTTCAATTGTCGTGAGTTGTGGGTAAACTACGTCCATAATGAGCACACATTTTTGTATTGCATTAAGTGGTTAGGTTAGGATTGTAAATACCATCAAGAAAAATTTAAAAAGAAACCACACAAACACATAGTACACTACTCTTTTTAAAAAACTATCAAATGTATAAATCTAAATTTTTATCTAAAATGTTATGAGTAAATGTGTTGTGTGTATGATTTTTACGACTAGTTGGTATTTTTTGTGTAGTCTAAGTTAAAAATTAATTGATTGTTATTGTGTATAAGTAAAATTTGTAGGCTATGTTCCAGAAATAGTCGTCACAGAATCTGGTTGAAAATCAAACTGGTTGTTCACACAATATCTCTTCATAAAAAAACAGTAAAGAAATCCTATTATTATATTTGTGGCCCTGCAAACAATTTTCACTAAGTTAGTAAATTTCATAGGACCTAGTAATAGAAGATCTTATAAATTCAAAAGAAACGTTTTACACAAATTATAAAACAATTAATTTAATAATTTAAAAAAATATTTCTTACAACAGTAAAACGGTAAAACTCACAACATTCAGAAAGTCCTAAAATAAGGAGATATATCTGCGGTTTGGTTTGCATATGAGCAGTGCTATGGACCCCAAGAGATTATTGCACCCCCCCCCATAACAAAGGGAATTATTCTCTTCCTTCGCCCCCCCAAAAAACCTAAGACCCCTTTAACTACATTTAATAGGGTGGCCCAGAACATGTCTCTGAATTCCATGCTCAATTACCTTAGTTATAAACAACTCAAAAATGTGAAACTGAAAACCCATAATTTGTTTATATAAGGTTCTAATAAAAAACATTTACAGTATATGCTGAAATTTGTCAGTTTAATGTACACAATTTTATGAACATCAACAAGAGTTATAAATTGCTTTGCACATTTAATTTTTAACTAAGGTTTCAGAATTTTAGATTTTCCCTTTTTCAAATTGACGTTTATTTCACTATCTTTCTTGAGATTTGGCTTTTTCTTTACCCCTCTAACAATGATCTTCTTGGCAGGGGGCTTAGTTTCTTGAACAACAGACTTGTCGAATTCTTCTCGTTCTTTTTGCCAAATTCTTGCATATTCGTTGCTCATTATGTAGGCCATTTTAGTAGGTTCCTAAACCAAACAATACAAAAAAAGAGGAAGGTTTTACTTTTTAATTTTTTTATGACTCTATTACTTTATTATTTTTTATTACATTTTTTTAAACTTTTTACTATTTTTACTTTCAACTAATTCTAATAGTTATCAATTAGAAAAGAAATAGAGTGTTTACACTGTTACTGTTGGTTTAGGTCTGTGCTTCAGATAGTGTAGCCAATGACATTACAAATATCCCCGCCGCAGCAACAAACCTGGAGACTGAGCGAATTTCTTTAATACTTTCTTATTAAATGGCGACCATACAAAGTAGGTATTTTAAGCCAAGTATGAATGGAGATGAGTGTAGTATGAGTGGCACGATCTTGTAGTCTTGTTAGTGACTAAGGTGGACATTCCTTAGACACAGCTGTTAATTAATAGCCCATACAGCCAATGGCAACTAAGGGACCTACAGTTTATAGTGGAATCCGAACCAAATTTTTTTGCCTTGGTATATACGAATTGGTCTAATTATCAGGATAGTAATGCGGATAGTCGTAGTACTCACTCGTGCGGATGTTAATCCACACCAGGGAGTATCACATCCACAGTGCATGACTATAAATATCCACAATTCGTGACCTCCTAGTAGCTGGATTACAGGACGACGCCACCCGTTCCATTTGCCTTATTATATCTTTACTAAAATACCTCCTTAAAATGTCAGATTTATTCCCTATTAAAAAAAAAAATAGATAAACATGGTTTGCTGCTACAGGGAAGGTAATAGAATACTTTTTTAGTGAAATGTAAATAGTTTAGTATGGAGTAAATAAATTTTCCAAATTTAATCAAAATATGTCCATAAACAATTAACTTCAACATTTTATTTATTTTCCTTAAGAATAACGCAGAAATTTTAAGTTTTAAGTTTTTAGGAATTTTTCCCTTAACCATTAAGCCAGTTAACAACACTGCCATGAACTAATTTTTATTAAAAGCTCTAAAAATGGTTTGGACTGCAAAAATTAAAAAAAACCTATTTCTACCCCATAACCCCCCCCCCCCCCTTCCGCAAGTCCAAATACCTTAGTCGAATCAAGCTGGTTTGCACACTCATTCAAATAAACCTAGGTTTCACGTTAGTACCAAATTTCATTAAAATCGGTTGGTTAATTTTTTCTCGTTTGTCTACATACTATGAGACCTATGCTAATATCATTCCCTATATGGGATATTATCTTAAACTGAATTGCTCTTAAACATATACAAAAGTCTTCAAAATTATACATAGATATGAAAATAAAAATATTCCTATATTACATTATTTTAAAATCTTCAATAGTATACTCCCATACTATACTGAGCTAGGACAACTGTAGTATTATCGATTAACTAGGTTTATCCCAAAATCGAACCATTAAGTTTCTACTTCCCTGTGAATTACAACTTCAAAATAAATTTCAAAGAATCAAAAAGAATACACTAACTTATAATGATAGAAAAATTGTAGCATCTATGCAAAGTAATGATAGATGTCCCTCAGGGATTCAATCAATCGTCTTGGTTGCTGAGTGATTATAGAGCTTGTCTACAAATCTGAAGCATGCTGGATACATAACTGGTCGATTCGATAGTTGGCCAGGGGTTTGAATAGGAATTTGAAATAAAATTTAAAAACCAATATCTATTCTTTCATCAATTTGTAAACAGAAACTTGAGAGTAAAAAAATTTAAAGATGGTGGATTAGTTTTAATAAACTTCTCTTCTTACAAAAGCTTAGCTGACATGCCTGAAGAGTGAATTGCAAGCAAATCATGAATGGCAGGATATTCACCTCATGAAGAAGGGCGAATGGGACGGCCACAATTGATGTGGATAGATGGAGTGGAGGAGGCTAAAAGAATATTAGAATAGACAACTGTAAAACAAAGACACAGATAGACAGCATGGCACTCCAAAGCATTGAGGAAGATTGTTATGGAGGCTAAAAAGCAAGCAAAGGGCTGTAGCACCAGGATAGTATGTTAAGACATTTTAAGGAAGATTTAACACTTCATCTATGTACTTTGAGATGTGTACCATGTTTTAAAGATTCATCTGCAATTTCAATTGAGTTATTTCTGAGCTGTTGGAAATTATTTAGTGTTATTAATTGCATTTTTCATTTAATATTTATTGGTGACAACACACTGAAAGATTAAGAAGACTTATTTGTATTAGGTAGACTGCTTCGAGAAGGAGGCGGGTTTAAAGTGTAATTTTAGTGAGATTAGGATAAGCAGTTGGGTTGTGGATTTTTTTTGTGGAAGCCACAAAGGAGAAATCCAAACAATTGTGGAATCTCCAAACGCTGCATTTATTTGCTGACTGGGAAAAGCTATGTCCACACTCGTGCACTGTCAATTGGTCATGCATAAACACATGCGTTGTTGAATGCTTTTGGAGCATGCCTTTCAACTGTCCATACGCATGAAAATTAATGAGGAATATGCAAACCAAGGTGTCTCGTACTTGCTATCAGGTCCCGTACGACTTTTTTGTATTACTTTTGTTGCTCTTTTGAAAAATATGACCACAGCTTTTAACTTCATTCCGCACACCCTTCATGTTCATGTTGAATTTTTTAGCTAAATCCGAGCAGGTGTCATTCCGCTGTGTATTGTTAGTGTAAATTTACTCTGTATGTCCCACAAACTCACATGATAGTGATAATCTTCTATGAATTGAAAGGTATCTTCATTGTCATGTTGCTCCAAACAACAACATGGACAAATTGTCAAAAATGTAAAGCAGTTGATTCATGTTGAAACGCAAAGAAATCCAATGCTGGCGGATCGTCTTGCCCTATGGAATTGGGCTCTTGCCAAGTCAATTCGGGCTTATCTTGACCAATGCTTTACTTGCGTCCAGGCGTGTGCTAAGAGGCATGCGTTTGGTGCACACAGAAGCTCACAAATGTGGACATAGGTACCGGTACCTAATGAGTTGCTGTATAATCATGACCTTAGAGCTTCCAGAAGAATCCAATGTGTTTGTATAAAATAGTTTAACCGATTTATGAAAATTTTTGAGCTTAAAAGGTGAGAAATGATTCATCAAAACAAGGCAGAAGGAATTAAACAGAACTGCAAGCCGATTCTGAAAATTAGATTGTGCTTTTAACTATTCTAATTTTACTTACTTTTCACTAGTTCAAATCAAACTTACTTTTTCATAGGAAGGAATGAACTGTTTGGCATTGGTGTAGTCTGAAGATTTTATTCCATCTGGACGTTTAATTTGGTGAGATGGCTCCCAATGAGGTTTTTTCTTATCCTTATATTCTTTAGCCATGATCAATCCCTAAAATACAACTATACATGCTTTACTTTATTAGTAAACAAACATTTTGATAGGTTACAAATTAAATATGATGGTTTGAAGCTTTTCAGTCATATGACAAGTATTTGAGTTACAGTACATTGATTGGAAATCATCCTTTGTTTATCCTGTGAAATAATGATCGCATACAAATATAAATTTTATTCGACTTTTTACTCTGTGCTCAATACTTTTGCAAAGTTCCTGATATTATTAATCCTGTTTTAAGGTCATTGTCTATTTTTCTACTGGAATAAAGACTACTGAGTTATATGATTCTGGTGATCTTTGAGATGGGGGTCTGAAGATGAATGTGAATGAAGTAAGAAAGCTTTGACTTTGAAAAGTGGTGCACCCAGTAAGGTACCCAATGGACCTTGGGTCATATAACCTAATCATCTCACCAAAGTCAGTTTTTACATTTTTTGTGGTTGTCGTCTTATCGCCAGGTTGTTTTCAGGATAGACATTATTTCCAGATCCCACCATTATTTTGGCCATTTAAAGAACAGTCCGATGATGGCCACTGTCTCTCTTGAGTTAACTTATTTTTTCAGACGTGCTAAATTGTGTTCTAATTTTTTATTGTTGCTCGTACAGTGAAACCTCACTAACTCGACAGTAACAGCTACACTATCAGCTGACAAGGCACACTATAGTTCGCTTTGTCTTACTAGTTTAATTTTTTTCAGAACATTTAGTTTTAATTGTTGAATATTTAAGATTCCTTTGAAGATTATTTACTCAATATGTACAAATTCTCATGTAAGGAATAAATTTAAATGTAAAAATTAAATAGTCTGTTATTTGTTCATATTAAAAAAACCCATTACATTTTAAATTTTCTGGATAACTTGACAACCCCTAGGCTCAATAGTCAATAACCTCTAGGTCCACAAAATTGTCGAGCTACGGTACGTCCAGAGTGCACGCTGATTCAGATTCTTGGCGACAGGAATGGCACATGCATTCAAATGGAAGTGGCCATAGTGGCTGCCGGTTGCCGAGCCCGCGTGCAGGCACCTGCTTACCGGATTGAATTCTTCATTCTGGTTTCAGAGTCCTTATCAGATTTTGCTCGTACACATACTATTTAATTAAATTTTATTTTTAGAGTAAAATATTGAATTTTTTCATCCTTACTTTTAGAGTAACCACCAAACGCTCTTAAGGAAAATTGTTTTGTTTATTTATGTTACACCAGTTTCTTACAATTCAATGTTAAATTTTAATAATCAGTTTCGATCAACGAATGACTTACTTCTTTGCTAACCGAGTCAGTACTGGCAGCGTATTTCCTGCTTCCATTGGGGCCACCAACAAGATATCTGACTCAGATTAACCACGCGCTGAAAATCTGAATCGGCGTGCACTCCGGAAGTACCGTTAGTATGGTTTTACTGTACTTACTAGCATACTATAATACTACTACTGCTATGTTGTGCTTTACAGTCTCTCTTTGATTTCAGAGTTTTTGTTTTCCTTGGCATTTGGCCACAGTACTGTTATGTGAGTGGTCTTTAATGTGTTTTCCCTGCTTTGGCTGGGTTTGTGAATCTTGTAGTTATAATGTTAAATAATACTTTCTTACCTGAGGACGGGGTCAGATTTTAGATCCTTGTTGACACAACTAGACCCAGTTTCTTTATCACATTCGTCGTAATTGATGTGATTCGACAGATTGCACTGCTGATCTAAATTACTAATTTCTGTCATGTTTTCTTCATGTTTTTTTCCAAGTCAAACTGAAGTAACGACTTATTAAGCTATAAGAACTGTTATGCAACAAATAATCAGACAGAAAATAGAATGTTAGCACATTCTGTGACTGGCTCACACTACACTTTTTATATAAAAAAAAAAACTCGCAACAGCTGGTATATTTAAATTTGATGTCTACTTTAGTATCCAATTATTAATAGTCAATGCTAATAGCAATGGCAAATTTCTGATATTTTCTTTTGGCCCACGAAAGACCAGCTGTTTCATTAACCAGGATCATGTATTGAAAGCTCAATGATCAAGCACAGTTGGGCCCAATTTCAAACCATCAAAAAGCTACTGAATTTTGTCAGGATTCTACCAGCAACCTTCATAACAAACACCAACTTCATAAATATACTGAATAGCTTAGTTGCACCCTTTCGCCCCTGAGTAGTAGCACCTAAGTTACACTATTATACGCCATTCACAACATTTAGGCAGTTTGAGGGGAAGTCGGAAGAGATGCCATTCCCTCCACCTCACCCCATCATTGAAACAATAGCCGACAGCTGATATAATGAAAGTGGTGGGGGAACCCAGGAAACATTCACCTTAAACCGCCTAAATTTTGCGAAGGACTTGACAAAATTATATCATATACTAGCTGTAACCCGCGGGCTTTGCCCCGTTTAACTTCTTAATTTTCAAGATTATCTCGTTCGCATGGCTCAATCACGTCCTGGTTGAAGTTTGTTCGCTACGCTCACTCACCTTTAGGTTGGAGCTCGTTCGCTACGCTCACTCACCTTTAGGTTGGAGCTCGTTCGCTGCGCTCACTTGCCTTCAGGTTAGCTCGTTCGCTACGCTAACTCGCCTCCAGGTTGAAGTTCGTTCGCTACGCTCACTCACCTTTTGGTTGCAAATTAGCTGTTGTCATAAATGTAAAAGAAATAATTGTGCTGCACCCTGTTGGTAATCCTTGTAACTTTAATGCTATTGAACATCATAGAACAGAACCAACTTGTTTAATTGAAACAGCTGTTAAGATTCAATAATTCCATTTCTCATAAGGTTAACATGGGAAATTCCAGAGCCACTGGGGCGGAGCCCGAAAGGATTTTTGAAATAAGAATATGCCTATATGTTAATCGGGAATGTGAGCTATCATCATGCCAAATTTCAGCCCAATCCAACCAGTATTTTTCGAGTTTACTTTTCCCATACACACATACAGCAACCACCTCTTTTTTATAATAGTATACAGGGTGTTTTTTTAAAAACTTGCATCTTTATTTATGTAAAAACCGCAATAGATAGAAATATGCAGTTTGCGGGAATCATCTATTGACGTAGGGGGACCAATTTTTTTGAATTCAACGTTCCATTCACATTCCCCCCCTGCCCTCAACTTAATTTTTTTAAATAGCAAGGTACCCCTTGTGACATATCAAATAAAAGAGCATGAAAAAAGAAAATTTTTGATGAAAAAAAATTGAAAATCGGTTCATAAATTTGTGAGATATTTCCCCCTTCACCCCCCCGGAACTTAATTTTTTTTTTTAATAGCAAAGTACCCCTTGTGACATATCAAATAAAAGAGCATGAAAAAAGAAAATTTTTGGTGAAAAAAAAATAAATTCGGCTCATGAATTTGTGAGATAATTACCCCCCTTTTCCCCTACCCATAACTTGTTTTTTAATAGCAAGGTACCCGCCCTTGTGACATATCAAATGAAAAATAAATTTCGCCAAAATTTTTCTTTTTTCATGCTCTTTCATTTGATATGTCACAAGGGGTACTTTGCTATTAAAAAAAAATAAGTTCCGGGGGGGTGAAGGGGGAAATATCTCACAAATTTATGAACCAATTTTCAATTTTTTTTCATCAAAAATTTTCTTTTTTCATGCTCTTTTATTTGATATGTCACAAGGGGTACCTTGCTATTTAAAAAAATTAAGTTGGGGGCAGGGGGGGAAAGGGGGGGAATGTGAATGTAACGTTGAATTCAAAACAATTGGTCCCCCTACGTCAATAGATGATTCCCGCAAACTGCATATTTCTATCTATTGCGGTTTTTACATAAATAAAGATGCAAGTTTTTAAAAAAACACCCTGTAGATAGATGGTAGAAGCTAACCTGTTAATTTCTGCACAAGGAGTTAGTTACCTATGGACATAAACAAATGTTTATTCACTTAATCTCTTCAGAAAACAATTCAGCAAAACAGTTATGGTCATGTTTTTGGATACTAGCATTGACTATTGAATTAGTCAAAAGATACTGGTCAAGTCTTCTTGCTATTATAGGGCCTAGAAATAATATACTTTGCAGATTTAACTATGGATATCTAGCTCAAGATTGTTACCTTTTCCTAAGTATGGCAAGATAACTAAGTTCTACAACTTATTCTTAGCCGTAGTTCACAGCTTAAGTCTTACAGCAAAAGTCAGAGTTGTGAAGCCCCAATGTAAACAAGACTTTTGTTGGTTTAAACTTTTTTGTCTCAAACACTTGTCAATGTATTAAGTAAACAGTGCTTTAGAACTGACATTTTAAAAATATATTTTCAACCCCTTGTTACTGTATTCTTTATTTATGTACCCTAGGTATAGGACACCTCAGTGAGTTATCATAGACTAAGCAACACAGACTAAGGGAGTATGTTTAACTATGGTTGTATTTAACCTGAAAATGTTTTGGTCTACTTCTCAACTAACTTACGGTACTTGTCCAGGTGACCAACTTCTACAACTCCTTAATAAAATAAGCAGTGATAATACAACAGTGACTGCCGTTTATAATTAATATTCTTTATCAAAATATTTTTGAAGGCATAGGCCTAGTCAAAAAACTACGAAGTAAATGTCTTCTCACTAGGCCTATACAAAATAACACAATATCAATAAATACCATCCGCCCAAATCTTTAAAGTGGTTAGGCTACATACTTGATTATTCTGCAAACTATTAGGCCTACTATTCGTTAAACCAGGAGCTATACTGTAAATAAAAGTCAAAGATCTAGAATGACCAAAACAATATTTTTATTTGTCAATTTATAAAAAGAGGCTTAAACAAATTAGGTTAACATTTTGTTGATGAGGAGGAGTTGAATATTATCTTGATCATCCATCTGAAACAAAAACAAAAGCACTAAGTTAATTAGAACAATAAAAACACAACTTTTAAAATTCAAAAACATCATTTTTCTGCCTCAATCTATGACCAACTATTAGTACCGGTACATTTGTCCTTATTTATTGCAAATTGGTTACAGTTCTTGATTATTTGTTATAAAACATACATAAAATTAAACTTTTGCCAATCCTGTTTTATAAGCATATAACCAAACAAAAAAAAAATCAAATATAAATTATAATGAGCCTAGCCCAACAGTAGGCTAATTCATTGATACCCAAAGTTTGGAAAAATTCAGCCTATGTACACATCTGTATTTTTGACAATTTACAGAAAAGAAACCTTAGGATATTTGATTTTTGTTAAAAAACTGTTAGATAGATAATATTGCAAATATCACAGGAGACCACCATGCTGCCATAATCTCACGAGATATCTTGCATCACACTTTTTGTTATCTTATCATGATTTCAAGAGATTCTTTAATCAATACAAAATCCAAAGCCACTAAAGGCCCGTTGTCCAAGAACGCGTCTGTTGCGTCTGACGCTGAGTAATAGACGCTAGCGATGGACGCTCAGTGACTGCTAAGCATTGATTTCAATGGGCCTGTTGTCCAAGGGAGCGTCTCTAGCGTCTGACGCGGGGCACTGCTCCGGGAGCAGACGGGATCACTGACGGCCAGCGTCTATTGCGTCTATTGCATTGTTGTTTCTGTGTTCTCCCGTATACTCCACAATATACAGTATCTTAATGTAATGGATATAGTCAAAGAAATATAGAATATGACCTAAAAATATTGCAAGATAATGTTTTAGGGGTTTTATTTTGTAGTGTTGAGTCTGCTGAGTGATATACTAAAAGGTTGCCAAAAATCGGTCCATGGGAAACCCCCTAAAATCATTATAAAAAATGGTGGCTTTTTCCAACATTGGAAAAATAATAAAAAATGATTCCACATGCATTTTTTATGCACATTTTCGAGATATTTACTTAAGATCACCACCAGTATTTATTGGGTGATTAGTACTTCATTTCGATAGGAAACACGTTTATGGCCGCCATCTTGGATCCGCCATATTGGATATACATATTGTTTTTATGTAATGATAGTGTTGTGACACATAATTTACAAAACTAGATTTTCATGCTAATTTCAATGTGGGAATCCGTTTTTATTTTTTTTTTCGTTTTAAAGATATTCAAACAAAAACTCTTCCCCATACATTTCTTATAGACGTTTCGTACTTTTATAATTTTTTTAATATCTCCAGTTCTTATAAACGCTTGCAGTTCGTTTCAATCTTAAAATATTCAGTAATGTAAGGGCTTCCATTTGAGTTGAACAAAAACACAAAATTAAATCAAAATTAAATTAAAGTTATTGTCTAAAATAATTCACCATAGTATTGACTTTTATTTTAGCTATGGATTACATATTGGGAGTTATTTAGAATAGGAGATATCTGTATTTAAGTAAAGAAAAATTTTAAAATAATAATAAATTAGTGTTAAATTAAATTATTACAACTCTAACTTTAAAGGATTTAACGGAACTTAAACTGTTTCCATTAAAAGTAAAAAAAAAATCACTTAACAGACTCTTGTCTGCATTAAAGTGGTTTTTGATAAGTATTCTAAAAATATCCTTCCTCACTTCTCTTTTTGAAAACACTGTGGGTACACAATCGAGGTTCACTAAAGGTCCAGAATTTCCTCGTTTTCTATCTCTTCGATGAACAGGATCTTCAACACTTGGCTCTTAACGCAAATAGTGAGAGCAAAATAAATTTTAACACAGTGAGCAACCAACTGTTGAACTGAATAGACGCGTTCTTGGACAACGGGCCTCTAAGCGATCGACGCTCAGCGATCATCGCTCGGCGATCATCGCTCTGCGTCAGACGCAACAGACGCGCCTTGGACAACGCAGCTTAAGTAACAAGAACTGGAATAAGCGTATTCATATTTTTAAGGTTTCCCAGCATATTCACATATTTTTCAAGATTATTTCAGGTTTGATGTTATCTTAATGTAGGTACCTAGATTACACTGTTTGTTTTAAAAACAAAAATATTAAGAACTAAAAAAATGATTTAAAAAGGAAACTCAGGCCTACAAACATTTTTAATTAGGTATGAATGCAATAGCTTACAAAGCCGTAGTAAAATTAAAGCAGTAGGCTGTTACGATTCGAACTCGTACAAACCGCCATATTAACTTAGCATCCAAACCATTCAATGGACCTCAAATTCATTTTTTTTTTTCGTTTTACTCAACTCGTACTATTAAATTTTGATCACGTTAATATACCTAATATCGCATGGAACAAGTATACCGTACAATTAATTTGAAATATTACTCTGATTAACACGTTTGCTACCACAATTATATGGAATTTTCATTCTCGCAGACCAGCGACGCATTTGTGCTTCGAATAGTTTCTCACAGTAGGCTGGTCACTTCTAGGAATAAACTGACGACGCAGTTGTTATCAAACAGCGTATTCCTTAGCAACGGTCTAATTTAAAGCCCTGATCTCTTCGTATCGGTCCGAAACGATATCTGCCGCACTTGTGCGTTGCTTGGTCAATGGATATGACGATTGGTTTGTCACACAACAGTTGGCCACATTGTTGATTTGTTTGAACTTTACCTTCAAACAAGCTTAAATAAGAAAATCACAACGACGCATACGTGCATTATCGTAACAGAAATTCAATCTTTTCTAATGGTTTCAAATCAAATCAAATCAAAAATGCTTTATTCATATTGTATATACATACATGAATAGTGTCAGACTATAACTAATTTGTATGCATTTTGATTTCGATTTACAGAAAAGTAGGAACCGCATACAGTTTCATTTTTTTCCATCAGAGCACCTCAACCTTATTTATTTAGTCGTTTTTACATTGAAAAAACTCTTCAAATGAATAATAGCTCGTTTGCAACAGATGATTCTTAGCTATTTTTTTGAAATTATTTTGGTTTATTTTACTTTTTAATTTTGTAGGAAGATGGTTTAAAAATTTTGATCCCATAAAGGTTCCCTTTTTTTCAAAGAAGCTGAGGTTATGTTTTGATAAATTTATATCATTCTTATTTCTAGTGTCATATGAATGGACTTTTCTAATTTCCAAATTGTGTAGTTGATTTTTGACACACATAATACATTCTACTATATAGCCTACTGATCATAGACAGTCAAAATATGTAGTTTTGAAAATTTATCCTTCACAGTTATTCGTTTGTCCAAGTATAGCATGATTCTTATAGCTTTTTTTGGAGTTTCAGAACTGTATCTAAATTTTGTTTAGACGTTCCTCCATAGATTGCCAGACCATAAGACAGATGGGAATGTATATGCACAAAATATATTGATTTTAGGGTGTCCAGGCTATATAATAGTGACATACGCCTCAAAACATATAACCCGGAAGAAATTTTTTGTGTTATGAATTGTGTATGATAATCCCACTTAAAATATGTGTCTACGTAAAGCCCTAAAAATTTAGTATGCTTTCGATTTTCTATTTTTTCGTTTCCAACCAGGATGTTTGGTTCTATTGTTTCTTTTCTTTGTGAGGCTGAAAAAACGATTTGGTTGGTTTTTTGACAGTTTAAAAGTTTATTTTTAAGAAAATATGATTGAACTTTACTCAAATTTTCATTACAGGCCAGTTCAAGATTTTGGTAATTTTTAGCTGAAATAATTAGGTTTGAATCGTCTGCGTACAATAGTAACTGGCTTTTGGCTTCTATGTTTGATTTTAAAATTGAGGGCATTCCACGGACATAGCAGAGAAATAATAATGGTCCTAAAATAGATCCCTGAGGAACTCCATGTTTAATTTTTAATGTTTGTGATTTATTTTTAACGACTTCATTAAATAGACTGACCGGTATCCCGGTATATAGTAAATAGTTAAGGGCCTATATGCAGCGTTTTAAAAATTTCTCAAAAAGATAAATAAAAGCAATATTTTTTGCTTTCTAATTCATCTTAGGTTAATAGAAGAGTCAATTAGTCAATTTAAACAAAATTTCTTCTTTGGTGTCTGCCGGTAATGTTATTCCTAGATCACTTGGTTTGTAGGCAACAGATGATTCCTTTTGGTCTGTGAGAGTGACCGGACCGACGCAAACGTGCCTCGCTCGGTAGCGAATGGGTAAAAATTCACTTTCCACAACTCACCCAAAAATCACTTCCTGATGTATTTAAAAACTTTGTAAGAAGTGTATTAAATGAAGTTATGGACTTGACTGAGGGGGGGTAAGGCCAGTTAAACAAAAAAATATGACAGGAAGTATTAATTTCGTAACTATGTCCAAATCATCATGAGGGCTCATCACACTGTGATTCACCATAAAACAATACTATGATAAAAAGTTGTAAATGTTACATGAATAAACAACCCAGTCAACTTAATCTATACATTATTACCTTACTAATCTAACCTAACTTCAAAACACTTAATGCAGCCACGAACCCGCATAATCTAAGTAATTCGGATGTAATTGTACAGTCTATACACCCCATAAGGATGAGGATACTCTTTGTCTTGCTGACTCTTTAACTGTGGCCAATAGCGAGGCGACAAACAAACCACGCAATGCCACATCGACATCTGATTAGGTTGGTACTGGCAATTTTTCCCTAAAATATTTTAAAAATCCCTTAAATAGGGATATTAACCTCAATAAATTGGGATTTCATCCCGTTTTAGCTATTTCATCCCGGTTACTCAAAAAAAGATTCCCATTTTTTAAATTTAAAAATTACCCGTCTTCCCATGAAATTACCCTTTTGTCCCGATTATAAGCGAGTTTTTCCTCCCACCCGAAAGCCGAATTCCCACTCTGGCCCCCTAGTGAGTAGAGATTATTGCTGATATAAAACCGATTTTAGCAATTAAAGGAAGCCTCGGCAACCAAAAAGTTGTTTAAGCGAGTTGTAGTTAGTATTATAAACAGACTGTTTAAAAACGGTTTAAGCACGTTTTAGATGAGTTGTAGAAACTGAACAAAAACCGAGGAGAGTTTACAAAAAATATATCAAAATATAGCTTTAAGCCTAATATCTAGAGGTGTGCCATCCTGAAATTTTCAATCAAGGCAAACTCAAAGTAAAAATTATCGTTATCATCTACTGATGACATCATCATAAGCGATCACTGCAAAATCCTGACTAGGCATATCTTCCTCAGTTACAGAAACATCACCACTGTCTTCCGTGGTTGTTAAAAGTTCCTGTATATCACTCAGCGGTAACGGAAACTTCATATTCGTCTCCCACGGTAGGCCTAGGGACGTTGCGATACTATCGATACCAGTAGGTATCGATACTTTTCTTTCGATACTTGCGGTATCGGTATCGGTATCGAATGAAGCGATACTTTATCGGTATCGGAAGAAAATATGCAGTATCGGTATCGAAAAAGTAGTTCTAATTTATATTTTATAAATATGTATGTTTTATCCAATTTAAACGTTGATTTCTTTCAAAGGCTCATATCGATTTAAATTAAATAAGGCTGTTGAATCTAACCTTATTTAAATATACCATTTAAAGTGGAGTTTACTTATAAAGCAATAACCATCATCTGTAACATATCACTCCGCCTACGCTTAGTCGATTTGTCATCGTCATGTCCATGTCATATTACCGCTTCGCTGTGCCGGTTGCTGTTGTTATTGTTTTCAGCTTACTGTTATTTGAGGTTTTTAGTTATTAGTTTCAATGTGATTCACAGTGTAGGATTTTATGTTACATAACAAGTTTAAGTGTGTTCATTATTAATATTAAAATATGTCTCCTCCCAAAAGTAAACTGTGGAAACACTTTCAGAAGAAAGATTCCAAAACAGCCATTTGCAAGATTTGTTTGAGAGAGGTGAAGTTTAGTGGAAATACAAGCAATTTATTAAAACATTTGAAAAGTAACCATAAGAGTGTTAGTGTTAACCAAGATGATGAACCTGCATCAAAGAGTGACAAACAAAGCCTATTACAAGGTAAGCCTACAGGAAGCGTCTTAGTGAATAGACCTTTAACCTCTTTAGCTTCTACATCACATTCCAGCTTAGATTATAACGATCCTTTGGCTATAGAAGTCTGTCCAGTCAACGTAGAAGCTGATAAAGCGGCTTTAGTTTCACCAATAACTGAAGCATTTAACAAGGCCCGTGCTTTTGCTGTAGGTGGCATTCGCTACTCCAAAACTGTCAATAGTATTCTTTATTTTATCTGTAAGGACAACCGTCCATTTGCTGTGGTTGAAGGTGAGGGTTTTAAACACCTCATGCATGAACTGGCCCCAGCATTCAAGATCCCTTCAGTTGACTTCTTAAAAAAACAGCTTATTAATAAATATGAAGCTGTTTCCAGTAGATTGAAAACCAAGTTAAACAAAGCTACGCATATTTGTCTTTCAACAGATGTTTGGACAGAGACAATGGCTGAGAAATCATACTTGGGAGTCACAGCCCATTTTTTAGATGGTATCAGCATCATATCTATTGATCTGGCATGTAAGCAGTTAGATTCCAATCATACAGCGGAATATCTTGGTGAGAACCTGACAAAAATCTTAGCCGATTGGGAAATCGAGAAGGAGAAAGTAATCAGTATTGTTACTGATAACGGTTCAAACATAGTGGCAGCAGCTCAAATTGCTCTTCCTAATAAGCAGATGCCTTGCTTTGCCCACACCCTTAATTTGGTTACAATGGCAGCAGTTTCCCATCCGGATGTAGTAGGAATAATAGCAAAAGTAAGATCCGTAGTTAAGTACATCAAAAACAGTGTCATCAACTCGGACAAATTGAGAAAAATTCAAATTGAAAGTAACGTTCCAGAAGGAAAGGTGAAGAAAATGATTCTCGACGTTAAAACGAGATGGAACTCGACCTATTACATGGTCGAACGTTTTCTGGAGCTTTTGTCAGTAGTGAGCCAGATTGTAATAAATGATAACACCAGCCCAGAAATGCCAACTGCGGTGGAAATTTCAGATCTGCGAGACCTTGCATCGCTCCTGAAACCATTTGAGTTTGCTACTACGGATATATCTGGGGAAAAATACATAACTGTATCAAAAATCATTCCTATGATCAACTGCCTAATTTCTCAGTTAGGAAAATTCAATGCCACTAGTACATCTATGAAAGCGGTGAAACAAACCTTGGAGACGGAAATGGCAAAACGGTTTGGAAAGGCTGAGCAAAATTATCGCCTAGCCATAAGCACCCTCCTCGATCCTCGATTTAAAAATATTCATTTTCAAAATGCATCAGCTTGTGGAAGTGCCATTTCCAAACTGAAAGCTGTCTGCAAAGAAGAGAGTTCTCAGTCATCTGTATCTGGAGATTCCAGTGAAGAGGAAAAGACTAATCCTGCGTTTGACTTTTGGCAAACTCATAAAGAATTGGCCCAAGGGAAGAACAAGAAAGGAAAACAGGCTGACTCTTCAGAGATAACTTTGTACCTTTCAAATCCTGTGACGCCTTTAAAATCCCATCCATTGGAAGCATGGGAGGACATGAAAAATGTTTTTCCAGCCTTGTATAAACAAGCAAGAAAGAATTTACTTCATATGGCTACGTCAGTGCCCAGCGAGCGGCTTTTTTCCAAGGCTGGCTCCACAGTGAACCAACTACGCAATCGTTTATCAGCCAAGTTTTTGGACAAACTTGTTTTTTTAAATAGTGTGTCAGATGAGGAGTGGTTCCTGTAGATGTTTTACATTTTGTTTTTGATGTTTTTGTTTGGCTCACTTAACTTTGATTCACAATTCTACAAATTTTCTGTACATCAACTTTTTAATAAGCTTTTTAAGTTGTAAAAATAAACGTTCGTTTTACATTGTCTGAGAGTTGTCTGATTTTTCCAAAACACATCAATCATGAAGTAACTAATTTTTGCTATTACAACATCTGGTTTACTGTTATAGGCTACTGTTTATTTCAAAGTAACATCATTAGCTGCAATTTTTAAGAAATTATTCTCTATGTTAATCTAAAAATGAAAATGTTTATAAAATGTTAATGGTAAAATATATAACTTTAAAATGGAATGGGGCATCTACAAAAACCTCAAAAGTTCTTTTAATAATACAGGCCTTACAAAATTTTAGTTAAAGACACCTGAAACCCATGTGCAAAAATGTAAAAAAAATTTCATAGTGATATTATTTTTTTAATATAGAACAATAAGAATTATTCTTATCTCTTATGGTGCTTGCTCTTAAACTAATGTATTATTCTTCTAATTATATAGGTTTTAACTGCCAATTTCATTACAACTCACGATAAAGGCATACATTTTCATTCGATACCGTACTCATTCGATACTTACGGTATCGATACTTTTTATTCGATACTTTACTGGTATCGATACCGCAGATTCGATACGGTATCGATACCAAGTATCGGAAGATTGGTGGTATCGCAACGTCCCTAGGTAGGCCTAATAGAAGCGCAGAGGATACACGTCCGGTAACCGAACATGGATTAAGCGTCTGGCAGTGACTTCACCGGGTTGTGGGGGCCCAGAACACTTATCACCACAACCATACGTTGTACAGCCAATCGGTGTTCGTGATGTAGTGGATTGTACTTGGCTAACGAACAAGGTACACTAACTTTTTGTCAAAGATTTTGCTTAGAATTCCATTTCTTCTTCACTGTAGGCCCTATATCTTTTGTTAGAATTTTAGGCATTTAGAGTTTTATTTTATGAACAGAATTTAACCCTCATTCGATTTTTTCATCATCAGCAACTTTGGTTTGTTAAGATAGGTTATGACAGTAACTGCCGGACGCCTAATCCACGCACAGTTACCAAAAGCGTATCCTCTGCCTAACAGAAACACATCATCGAATTCCACGATCGTGGCGTAATTCTAACCACTTCCCAGGGTCGTGTAATATCGTCATTAGATACCTTCCTATTAACTTATACGAAGGCCACTTACTATTACTAGCCTATTTAACAGTGTGCAGCGGCGATTATGTTAGGTTGCATAAAACAGCCTTATGTTTGTAGGCTACTTAGGACTTTCTTTGTTTTGTTAGGAATCCAACGATACCAGACGAGTCATAAAAATGTATGATAGGTAACCCAACCTAACATAGGCTAACCGCCACAGAGCGCTGCAAAAGGGTGGCCTCCGTATAATATGCTTACCCATCATTGTCCTCCAAGATCACGGAAAAATCATGAACCTATCACACGGCCCTTAAGCTAAGACATCAACATTAATTGTCTCGGGACCACAGTCATGGAAACGTTGTGATTATCTTTCGCTAGGCCTATCACGGTAAAATGATAAATATTTAACACGGTCATGTGAACTTGACTAACTTATTGTCTCCCGCGATCGTGGAATAATTTTGATCATCTCCCGCAACCCTGTATCGTCGTCGTCAACAATATTGTGGCAATATTCTGATCATCCATCGCGGCCGTTTGAACATTATCATCTCTCGCGATCGAGGTAATAATCTGGTCATCACAGCAGTGTGAACATCATTATTATCTCCCGCAACAGCAACATCATTGTCTCATCTCTCGTCTTGTCCCTTCGCAGGCCACGGCACACAAAGAGTTAAAGTTATGCCCTAAATGGATTGAAGACAGTTTCGGCTAGAAATAGGATAGGCCTATCACACAACAAATTAAGAGAAGAGGCACGGCATCAGGAAATTACAATGTTACTTGATAAGGAATTAGAGAGCTCAAATCAGGGTTAGAGGCTATCATGGTTGTGAAGGCCTATGCCGGGCACAGCAATAAGTTAGCCTAGATGCCTAAGTTCGTAGTGATTGTTGAGGCATTCTGGACAAGAAACGTATTGAATTAAAAACTACGATTTACAAACAAAATTTACTTACTTTTAGAAAGCATCGCCTAGCCTACTTGGACCTCGCCCTCATCTTCCTCCTTTTCCTCTTCAGCCTTCGCATGCGCTTCTTCCTCCACTGAAAGTAAAAACCAATATTAGATTGTATTTATTGAATTTTAAGGAAATTGTCATTAAATTAGTTTACAAGACTTGCGTTAGATTATGTTTAGCATAAAAAGTAACATACCTTAGCTCTCATTGTGTTGGTTTATAAGATGGGAAGAGATACAAAACACGAGTGACTTCAATGGTGCTAGGCAGAAAACAGAATGACAGAGCGAGAGCGGATGAGAGAAAATAGAAACTTCTAAATTACCTAGCTTGTTCTTCTTACTTCACAAGCACGTTGCACCTGCAAGGGAAACAGGCTGGCACACAACGTACATTTAATGGCTTCACAGTATGTATACATAATCTTGTAAATAAGTACTGTGATATTTAATTTGTAATGAGGTACACATTTTTACGTTTTAAACCCAATAATCTAATTACAAATTGATTATTTTTAGAAAGAATTTTTCACGGCATAATAAATCAGAAAAGTTTAAGTTTTATAAATATACTAAATTCCTGGGCAAAGGATTTTTTGTAAAGCTCATTAGCTCCATAAAATCAACCAGTTCTGGATGTACAACTGGCCGCATACATAAGGGGGCCAAAGAGGATTGACAATAGTATATTTCATTACTAGGACTGAAAGTGGCATTATCCGTCGCGCGCTAAGTTTTTGTGTGAGGCGAAGCCGAACACATAAAACCCCAATTTCACGTGCGAGGCGAAGCCGAGTATGTGAGAGCCATTTTCACGTACGAGGCGAAGCCGAGGACGGGAATAATGGAGCAAGTGCCGGATAATAACTTTCGGTACGAGTTATGAACGATACTTTTCATCACGACGTAAAAATACACAAACACAGAATAGCAGACCTCAGTATAATAAAACAATTTTATTTCTCAATTAATTTGATTGAACATCAAAATAAAATAAAATCTTCTAAAAAGAAACCTACGTATATTTCTCAATAAATTTTGTTTAAACATCAAATAAAAGAATAACACAACTTTTAAAAATACATACAGCTGATTAAAATCATTAAATTAAACCGTAACAAAACACTAGCGCGCGTAGTGAATAAATGGAGAACTAATTGAGAGCGAGGGAAAGTAAATTTAGAGCGAGGGAAAATCAGCTGATCAATTTTCCCTCGCCCTAAATTAGAGCTTGGGAAACGACTACTTTCATTGATGTTAGCTGTTATCGAAAATAGTTACTTTCGTTAAGGAGTGATGAAAACATATTTTGTTCAGTACAAACAATTTTTTTTTACCATCAGTTTGCTGCGACCCCGTGATTTCGGCCGGAGGGATACAGGTGGCCATGGATACGTACATAATTTTCCGTGGCCGCGGGTATCGATAATGATGCCCTATACCCCTGTGATTGTGGCCCGCGGGAGATGTTCACGATTTTGCCGCGGTCGCAGGTGTCAATAATGATGTCCCCGTGATTGCGGTCCGTGGGAATTGTTCACACGATTTTACCGCGGCCGCGATTGTTGATAATGATGTTCCCGTGATTGTGGCCCGAGGGAGATGTTCATGATTTTGCCAAGGCAGTGGTTGTCGATAATGATATCCATCCCCATGATTGCGGCCTATGGGAGATGTTCATGAATTTGCCGCAGTTGCGGGTGTTGGTGACGATACTCCCTTGATTTAGGGTAGTGTTCGGGGTTTCAATTGTGGCCTGTGTGATATATCCCCAATTTGGCAGTATTCGCGCGAGTGTCAATGATTGTCCCCGTGATTATGGCCCAAAAGGAAGGCCTGCGCACACCAGAGTGGCGATAGCGGTGGCGATATTGGTGTGTTTTTTTCATCTCCTCCACCCACCATCACCACCGCGGCGTTATCGCTGGGGAGTTCACACCATCACACCGGAGCGATTCCGCAACACTGCGGTGACAGCAGTCTACAGTAATTTTTCGTCGTCATTTATTAGTGTGCATGTGTGCAGTCAACAAGTACGGTGTGTTGTTAGTTAGAAATATGACATACGACGAGGAAGAAATGTTGCTATTGTTTGCTGTAACTGAAGATGAAAGATAGGGAGTGGGAACATGACATCAACCAAAGGCGACTTGAACATGGCTAATACCATACATTGATGCCTGAACTGAGAAAAGACGAGAAACGCTTTTTAGTCCACTTGCTGGCTATTTTAGTGTGCAAACTTGCGTATACTAAATATTCTTGCATAACATTTTAGTTTGATGTCTAGGGAGTTTACTGGGTGTTTACCTCCTACCCCCGCGGTTTCCGGCTATGACGTCATCAATATGGTGGCAAAGGATGTCTTATATAATTTTGTATATTATTATTTTTTTTATAATATGTATATTAGTTATATATTTTGCATACTATTTTGTTGGATCGGGATAAATCTTTTTTGTTTGAAAGATAAGTTTTCATGTTACCTTTCATACATTTACACATTTGTTGTATGTTTAGAACATTTTTCGTAATTTTGCAAAAATACCGTATTTTTAATAAAAAGGTTAAATACCTGTAGTACTGTCAGTGATCCTGGAATTTAGGTTAGCGACCCAGGTTTCGAACCTAAAGGTTCATTTTCAAGCAGGTACCATCGTTAAAACACAATACATAATCCTCTTCATAACTGTGGAGAGTCGTTATAACACACAAGACACGAACGTATTTTTAAATATTTTTGTTAATAACGTATTATTGATACAATATATCAGAAACAACCTATAGAAAAGGTTGTAGAACAGAACGTTTAAAGAGCTTTATACAAATACCATATATTCGATATGCTTTACTCAAAAGCTTTAAGTCAAGAAACTAGATAAATCTCACAAAAACACCTAATTTGGCGCATAAACGCCTATAATAAGTCCGACATCTTATCTAGGGCTGTGTGCAAGTTTTACCATTTAATGTTGATGTAGGTGTATAAAGAAGTGTTTTCAACTCGAGTATTACTCTACACCCACTGCATTTTCCGTTTATGACGTCATCAAAATGGCTGACAAGTTACGTTTTCACCACCCATTTGACTTAAAATAAGACCATTTCCCCTTTTCTGAAAATAAAAAGCACACTAATATACCCTAATTACCCAGACTAATATATAGACTATACTATAATGTTGAGCTAAAAGTCTAGAGGACCTTTGGAACTTTTTTATACCAAGGACATTTTGTAGTTTTCGGTTATCTTCGACGTAAGTGATGCGTTGTTCCCTGAACCCGTAATTAGAGAAATTACTTACCGGTACACTTGTGAATTGAGATATCTAATGATAAATTCAAGTGCCTCCCATCTTTTGAAATGGATGTCCATGCTACAAGAAACTAAGACAAACATAAGTAATCTATTAGACTAATATTTTGTAATAAAGCATCCCCTAGTAAAAAAATACAAAATTAAGCAAAATAAAACTATATATTAACAATTCTATTTGATATAGAATTTTTAATATTAAGCCTAGTTTTTAATATTTTCTGTTCTAAGTTAGGTTTAGTTTTGTTTATCAAATTTTACTTTTGATACTTTTTAGTTTTAGGGTTGTCTTGCAATAAAACTCCTACCGGTATTATATTACTTTAAAAACCTAAACCATCCAAAATGCATAAACTAAAAACAATTAAAATTACTAAAAAATATTGCCAAAACTCATAATGATTGGGGATATAGAAAGTTATATTTAAAACTGTTTTTTCATACATTGGAAAGGTATATTAGCAGTAGATTACATAACACAGCTTGAATGTAATTTGCAATGTGGTTACGAAATTATTGTTTTATCAGTAAAGTTGGTTTAGTACTGTTTTTGATTGGTTAGAGCTTAAAATATTAACATGAGGATTTAAGTCTCTCAGATAAACTTATGATAGGTCGGTTACCTTCAGACTATTGGATTATTATGTATGCAGGACCTATCTGTTTAGATTTCATATTCATAGCTGAACTGTTCAAGGACAAATCCAGTCTAGTGTCCAGTTTAGTTAGGTTTCTCTAGACATGAAAGTAGAAAGTATAGTGGAGTTTGTGTTGTTCAGATTCCGATGGATTTTTGTGTGTTTATTTCTACTACCATGTACAATCACGTATGATTTCTTAGTATTAGTGAAAAAATTAATCAGTTCATTCTCAACTAAAGAGGTAAAAGAGAGTCATTTCGAGAGAGCAAAATTTGTGCAGGATCAGGTATGTTTATTTATGGTTTTAGTTTCGAAAATCACGCAGTGAAATAAAATAAATGCAAGCAAATATGGATAAGAATAATTTTCACTCTCATAAAATTGTTACGTAAATCCAAAACTAGTCAAGTTTTACAAAACTATTCTTTTAGAAGTTTAATTTATTTTGTGCATCTAAAAAAATCTATTCTTAAATAGTAAAAGAGATCTTTGAAAATGACATAGATATGGTATCTGTTGTATACACAAATTAATACTTAAACAGAACCGGTATGGATCCTAAACATAAACAAATTACATTGCTAGCCCCAATCATATACTAATAGCATTATCATATGATTTTGACAATTCCTTTTAAGCAATGCTAATGTTTATTTTTGGGCCAGCAACATAATTTGTTTATGTTTATGATCCATACCGGTTCCGTTCAAGTATTGGTGGTTGTATATGTACTGTGATGTTTGATAGTTAATTGTAAAATAAAGCATTGTAATCTTACTAATATTATAAATGTGAAAGTTTGTGTGTTTGTTTGTTTGAAGTTCAATCACGCATAAACCACTGGACGGATTGGGCTGAAATTTGGCATGATGATAGCTCACATTCCCGATTAACATATAGGCATATTCTTATCTCAAAAATCCTTTCGGGCTCCGCCCCAGTGGCTCTGTAATTCCCCATGTTAACCTTATGAGTATTCATATTTAAAGGGAATTAAAGAATTTAGTCAGCTGTTTCAACTAAAAAAGTTGGTTCTATGATATGGAAAAGCATTAAAAAGTTATAAGATTTACCAACAGGATGCAGCACTATTTTTTTTTGCATTTATGAAAACAGCTAATTTGAACTAAGCAGCAACAAAAAACTGTGATTCGCAATGAGAACTGTCAAATTAGGATTGTTTACAGTTATGTTTATGTTTTTCATTTCATGAATAATTTGTGAAATTTTACGAATTGTTGATAATTTATTTTTCTCTATTGTTTAGGTGAAGTGGTAGAACATTATGGCTATGGTAGATGTGTAATACTATAGAATACTGTAAATTTAAAAAAGCAAATTTTATCAAACGGTGTCCACCCATATTGCAAACGCAAAGCTTGAGTATAACTGCAATAAGCATTTTATACTTATATTCCAACCCCGTACGAAGGACGGGTACTCTGCTAGTGAATAATAATTTTAAATGGTCAAAGAGCATTTTTAATGTTTTGCCAGGTGAAACAATGGCACCAAGGAGATCAGTCAACTCCAATGTGCACAGGCAGGCCCGGCTGGAAAGCTATGACTTTACGAGAACCAAAATACAAGCAATGGATGTACAATATTCAAGTGGACTTGGATGAAATTGTGGAAATTGATATTGACAGACAGGTGTGGAAAATCAGAATTCTTTTGAGTGATTATAGTGCACTAAATTTACCTTGGTGTCTGCCACTTCTTAAGGTGTATTCTCGTCTACTTTTGCTGGCGCACCAAATGCATGCATGCATGCACTACGAATTAGAATATAATAACATGCAGGGTTTTTCATTTGTATTTTTGTTCAATCGACATGTGTTTATGTTGAACCTTTAGTTTTATGTATACAAAGAAGAGGATACAAGAATATGTGGCAAGGCACTCAAGATAAATATAAAGCAGTTAAACTTCTTAGGATAGTTATTGAAATATAAAATGTCAGTTGTATGAAAACAACCCATATGTAGTTGAATAAAACATGTTTTGAATAAAATCTTAGTTTTACAAAAAATATCAAAATTTTGATCTCACTTTTACCTATTAGTATTTTTGTTCCAAATACCTTGACTGATTATGCACGAATACTACCTACATCAAATGTTGAGTTCTTTGTATTCTTTGTTAAGTTTTAAAAAAATGTTAAAGGTTAAATTTTGTAATTTTAGGTGATGATCGTAGAACCGCTGGTGACAATGGGTCAGATATCTGCAAGGCTCATTCCACTTGGATGGACTCTTCCTTTGGTTGTGGAATTGGACGATTTAACTGTCGGTAATTAGTTTTAATTTTTAAATAACTACGTGAGATGAAAAAATTTTGAATGGATTCTAAAGGATCTCAAAAACCTAGACAAGTTTCCTCATTAGAGGGTCATCTGTTGTTTATATGATAGATGGACCTAGATCTTAAGACATACTCTAAAGCGCCAGATAGCTGCATTCAGAGAAATTTCCAATAGTTATAGAAAGGACGCCTCCAGTTTGAAATGACTGCATTTTAACTGCCAGACAAGCAGTGACTGGTGACCCAAGTAACACATTTCAAACCATTTATCATTTATCTAACAATTGACTAGATATAATCTAGATTATAAAACTGTATGAGTTATCAACTAGGCAATAACTGTTTTCACATAAAACTTTAATAAAATAAAATGTCAACATTGTTGTATTACATTAACTTCACAAGAATTGTATTACTATTCCTTACTAATTAGATACAAAAATAATAATGTTTTATGAACAAGAATTCTTTTTGTTAAATACTCTATTTAACCACCCATTCAATTTTTTTGTTTTTAAGGTGGTTTGATTATGGGCCAGGGAATCGAGTCGTCTTCTCACGCAGTGGGATTGTTCCAACACATTTGCCTCATGTACGAGATAGTCCTGGCAGATGGAAGTATGGTTAGATGCTCAAAAGTGAGTAGCTTTTTTCAATTTGTACCCCAAGTAGGGCACTTTGGAGTGGGTATTTGACTACAACAAACATGACAACCAAGAATAAATGTAAACAGCTTTTAAACTCAAACACTTTGTACCTTATCTTAAGTTCTAAACTCAACATCCTCTTGTACAGGGCAATTTTTTTGCTAGCCCAATTGATAAGTCATCTAATTTATTTATGTTTATGTTTATACAATTACTTTACTTTTTCAGGATGAAGACCCAGATTTGTTTTATGCCATACCTTGGTCATATGGGACACTGGGATTCCTAACTGCTGTGGAACTTCGGATCACACCAGCAAAAAGGTTAATGAACTTGTATTTGTGGTAACAACTTCTACGGACCAATTGGCTAAGCTAAAAGGAAAATATAAAGATAATACTGTGCCATAAGTATTTAAATGTTATACTACTCGCAAGAGAGCGAGCTCGTCTAGTGGTAGAGACTTCGGTCCACAAGGTCCCAGGTTCAAACCCTGCCAAAATCCAATGAATTTAATTAAGTAATAATGCCGCAAAATTGTAGGTCTAGCCTGAAGTAATGTGTAAACAGTGCCTAGTGTCCTAGGATGTGAAGGTCAAACATGAAAAAGAATAAAAAATTACATTTGTATTATAACATAGGCAATTGAAGCTAAAATGCAGTACAACTCCAACCATACGAATCAATTGGGACCACACAACATTTAGACAATTTAATTTTCACCAAAATTTAGAGTGTTTTACACCAAATGCGCAGTCTAGCAGAGATTTTACTGTGGCAATTGCAAAACGCATTATGCGAAGATTTCTCAATCTTCACACTCTGCAATTGCAAAAGTTTGACAAGTTTGCACGATTGCAAGAGACGACGATGATGTCCACACGGTCATAAGATATATTAAAAATTTTGCCGTAATCACAGAGGATGATGATGATGTTTCCGTGACTGTGGAAGACGATAAAGATGATGTCTACAAGACCGCAGGAGATGTGCAAAATTTTTCCGCGATTGTGGAAAAATGATTACGACGTTTCCGCGAGCACGGGAGACAATAATAATGTCTAAACGACCGTGAAAGTGGTTTTGGATTTTGCTGCAATCATGGCATCTGCCTTCTTTACTACTGCAGTTTAAGTTTTTTTTCTCTGTAAGTGATTCGTGTGGCTGGAGTTCTACCGTAGTAAAAATAATAATTTAATTTTACAGTCAAAACCTTTTGGACTCAGTAGCAACTGACTGTTAGTAAGACCATAGAATAAATGCTATGATAAGACTAATTTTTCTATGAACAATCTGGCGCTGTATGACCCTACCCATAAAGATTAATTTTTAAACTTGACTCTGTCTGATTCTAAAGCGGATACAATTGCAGCTCAACTTAGCAATTTTATTCTTCAGCTTCAACATCAAGTAAATCAAAAGAAAACATTGAAATCCAATATTTCTAAGTTTTCTCAAGCATAAATTTGTATGAGTTGTCTTTTATGATTTAAATAAACTTAAAATGCTCCAAATTAGGGAGTAATAATTTCTTTCCTCCAAAATTGAAAATGAGTTGTGTATTTATGGTGTTATGATTTCCATTAAAAATCTATCCTACAAAAGGCATTGAGTTATCTAATTATTAAATGATCATTATTGAATCAACCGTCTTAAATTACAAATTCTTAACTAAAATCTTTTACAAAGTTTTAAAAGTGTGATCTTGACATTTACGTTTTAGGTTTGTGAAGTTGAAGTATGAGCCTTTCTACTCACTTGATGAGGGAGTTGCAATGTGTGAAGCTCGATCAAAAGACAAAAATAAGAATCAGTTTGTGGAAGGAATCATGTTCGACAAGAATCAAGGAGTAATAATGACTGGGTCTATGGTTGATGACGGAACTAATGTAAGTAGTGTTGTTTAGTTTGACTTTTCAAACTTAACATTCAAAGTTCAGGTTTTTTTTGCAATGAATCCTATGTGATATACCTAACTATACGTAAGACGAGAAATAAAGCTAAGATAGAGTTTGGTCAGTTAAAAATAATTTACTAATGATAACAACTACTGTATTATACTTGCTGATTCCAACTATGAAAACATTGTTATGATTATTTAACTATTATTTTTTGACACAAGTATCAGGGTCTGAAATTTTGAACTGACATTTCATATTCAGGCTAATTAATAATACTACTTAAAATATCATTTTTTTAGGCAAGAAAATTTAAATTTTCGTTTAACTGGCATGTTGTTGTATGTATTGATTAGAATTGATCGATACACATGAGGACGAGATTATGGAGGGAGGAAAAACAAATAGTCTTTTTTATTTTGCACACAAATAAAAAATAAATATCTAATAAACTGTGACCACGCTTTAGGTGAACGTGATTGGAAGGTGGTACAAACCATGGTTTTATGAACACGTACGAAGCTTTCTAACAAGAGGCGAGATGGAAGAATGTATCCCATTGAGGGATTACTACCATCGACACACCAAAGCACTATTCTGGGAGTTGCAGGTAAAATTGCATTGTAGATAAAATGGTGTCAGTATTGAAACAAATTAAAAAATTTCCTGGAAACATTGAATAAGATTTGAGTTAAAAGAAGAATTGCTTGGGTCTCCACGCCAGAACAGCATTTCCCCAATGGAGTAAATTTCAAATGTTTTTAAGGAAAAGCAGTCTATACCCATTAAAGTTTAAATTATGTGAATTGTTTCAAATTTATCAAAATATAACAAATGCAACCTCACTATTATCGTATTATTACAGCCCAAACACTCTAAACACTTAAACAGTAAATATTTAGCTATACTGTGTGTAAATTTAGAAAATATTTACCTTGTTTAGTTATTACCATAGACATATAGACCGTCAGCTGTGCTGCGGTTAGCATAAGTTCTGGCGTCCACCACTAGGTTTGCCGTGTAGTTATGGCGCACACCGCTGCAGTGTCTGCTGGTAGCATACGGCTCCTCGCCTGCAGCGGAACCTTCCTTTGACAGTCTATATTTATTCTATTTGTCTATGTTATTTCTAGGAAAATTAATATGCTCTTGGTATTTCTGTAATTAAAAAAGGCTTTAGCTAAAGATTTACACCTAACAACAATAAAAAACATTTCAGCATAGAGATACACAAAAAAATTGTGTCCATTGTTGGTTTGGTAAATCTTTGCTCACAAGCACTCCCGGTGATTCAATTAAGTTGACATAACTATTAATATGTATCTTATTGACCACTTTTCTGTTTGTAGGATATAGTTCCATTTGGCAACAACCTGTTCTTCAGATGGATTCTTGGATGGGCAATGCCTCCGAAAATATCATTCTTGAAGCGAACACAAACTAAGGTGATAAAGGATTTGTACGACAAGCACCACGTGGTTCAAGACCTTATCATCCCTATACAGCTTTTGAAAAAGTCTCTGCTTTTCTTCGACAAAGAAATCAACGTACGTACCAGAATCTCCACATATTATATTTCTAAATTAATTAGAAAGGTTGGCGCAGCAATGGATTTTCAAACTAACCTCTCCTCACTAACTATATTCAATTCAGTTAGTCATTGGGAACTTTGAGGATTACGGACGGTTTTGTGTGTCCAGGTTTACCCAATCTGGTTGTGCCCTGCTCTGCTACCTAATGACCCTGGATTAGTACACTCTTACTCCGACACACCACAGCTGTACGTGGACATCGGGCTGTACGGAACGCCCAACGCACCACATTACGAATGTGTCCAGTCTACCAGGGCAATAGAACATTTCACCATTCAAAACAAAGGGTGAGCGAGCACTTCATAGTAAATGTGATTTAAATAATGCTGATTTTCATTAACCTGTTGATAAATGAGAAATTTTATGAAAATAGGAACAGCAGCTTCATTTATTGACCAGGCATATTATTGATGTCAAAACACAAATTCTTAATGAGAAAAAATATGATTCAAATCGAACAAGGTTACTTTCGTTAACAACATACGGCAAAAACCAAAATATATTGGATTTAGTTAGTTCATAATACATTACAGTAATTGAATTATTACTTTTATACTACTGATATACTGAAATACTTTAAATCTGAAGAGATACATAGAATTCTTTAAATAATTCTTAATAATGACTGCATTTTATGGTTTCAGGTATCAGATGATGTATGCTGGAACATTCTGCGATGAAGAAGAATTTTCCAAAATGTTTGATTTGAGCCTATACAACAGGGTTCGTGAAAGATTGAAATGTGACAAGGCTTTTCCACATATCTTTGGGAAGATAAATAGAAAAGTACGAGACTAAAACCCAATGTTTGTATCCAAAAAGCTATTAAATACATTTTTTAAAATAACAACTTCCTAATTTCTTACTCCTGCTTAATGAAAGGAAGTATCACAAAATTGTCACATAACATAGAATGTTATTTTGCATCATTATGAAGATAAAAAAACCCTGAATCTCAAACCTAACTGATAAGATTATTGATCGTATAATTAATTCAAACATACCTGCGCCCGAATTTCAGAAGGAAAAGGAATAATAAGAGTCATTAAGAGTGTACAACCTATATATATAATAATTTCGTATAAATAATAAATATTTAAGCTTAACACAATAATATTTTATCGATAATGAAGCTAAAATCGATGAATCGAAAAACGATAGGTGATGAACGTTTACATTTACATTACTAAAAATGTACAATAATAAAAAAATCATAGATTATTAACAGTAACAATATCGACGCCACACGTGTCCACTCGATGACGTTTTAGTCCACAAACTCAGCACTTTTAAAACTCCTAGTTGTCCAGAGTCTTTTTATGACAGCGATGTCATACGTTGCTGGAAAATCTCGAGATGATCCTCGGCTTTTGTTCGAGTCGAGGTGTCGTCTCGAGATTCGCCGGCTATATATCTATTTATAAATATAAACATTCAATATTCCAATATACAAAGAGGTGTGCGGAGGTGGGGGTGGGGCTATGAGGCGGGCCGATGCTTGCCACCACAGAGTCCGCAGGAGACGCAGCAAAAGTGACAGGCTCTTAGTGGTGGGTAGCACCACAGACACGGCACCAGTATGGACAGCAGGGCCAGCGCCAGCCACCTACAAAATAGTATCACGCTTTATCACCGTGGGATGAGGATGTGAGGGAAACATCTAAAGGATCACTTAGCAATTTTTTTTAAATTTGTCAAGATATTAAAGGGCTGAGCAAGAGGTTCTACCATTGAGCCTTGCCTTGCCTAAAAGCTCAAGTGGACAAGCATAGTCAAAATTCAAGCTGAGCCAAGCTTTTGTTATCACGATCACAATAGCCATATGTGAAGATTGGAGGTGTTCGTGACACTTGCAGGAGCTTTGAGATGACTGTGTGAACAAAAGAATGAAACGATCGTACCGCTAATTGTGTCTTCCTATTGACAGCGAGGATCACAAAATAATTGTCCCTTGATAATATATTACTGAGGAAACAATTATTTTTGTAATGAACTGATAGAACGAGCGAGTGAAATAATGCTGATCATACCTTCCTATTAACGGAGAGTTCCACAAAATAATATGGTACTGTACCTTAAGGTAGTTTGTTTATTTTTCATGATGGAACGGCCTCTGGATCGTCTGAATGAACTAATATAGGTAGGAATTATAAAAATAGGAATGACGATTGTCTCTGTGACGTCATTTGAACTGTTAGTACGAGCAGGTGAAATAACACTTTTTGTGTTTTCCTATTACAGTGACCATTGTTGCAAGTTTGAGAGAAAGGGAGAAGGTTGTTGAATTGAACAATTAACAGTGTGTTGCTGTTAAAAACTGAGTAATAAATAATCTTAATGAAAGAGTAACTGATTGCAAACTAGAAGAAATTTGTAGTTAGATCATTTTTATCCACTTGTTATTCTATTTATAAAGTGCCCGCAAATGTTTTTATAATGCTTGCCGCTGTAACACAGTCAGAACCTTACCTTCTACCACAGCCGATGCTACACTCGCAGGGTTCGTCCTGCAATACACGCTGCGCCAGACACAGACACGCTGCAGTCTCTATGGTAGTCTTGACAGGATCTGGTGCGTACGGACACGCACCCCGCACATTGGTCTCACTGGAGTACGGTTCCTGAGGAGAGAAACTAAAATTAACTTCTGTAGCCTGCTAAAGTATGTTGCACTAAAAATACACATTCGTCCTTGACCAGGCACATAGAAAAATAAACCTTTGAATAGCGAAATAGTAGCTCAGATTAAAAAGTTCTTATCTTAATCATAAGTAGGCCTACAAAGGTTATATGTATATTACGGGGGACCGAGCCTTGCTCGGTTGTTGGAAACTATTCATTGGTTCCATTTTTGGGATATAGGTTTAGGTAGGCTGTACAATATTCATAAAAATTTTGGTACAAAAAAATATAGTATAATACATGCAGTGAATAAAATATACGTTAACTGGGACAATCAGTATAAAAGAATCTATTGAAGGTCAATTTTCCTAACTGTTTTAATATGGCAAAAAAAGTGATACAACGGAGAAAACCCTTATTGTATTAGGGATATAGATTTTTGCCCAGCTTAGATCCTGTAGCTGTACGTTAGAGTGGGGGAGAACCCACAATGTCTGGGATGTTTAGTGGGACATGTTTGTGCTTTATTTTATTTTATTTTTTGTTGGAGTGAGATCTACGAGTTTTCTTACCTGGCAGTGTCTGCACCGTTCTTTCCGTTTGTTCGGAAGTGTGAGTTGAGCTCGTTTCTTGAGGCTCCCCTCCCCCTCCACCACAGGGTACATGTAGTCATGGACTGTCGTGAGCTGAACGTACGAGTAGCTCTCAGGCTCGGGTATGGTGGGGGGAGGAGCGGGGATGGGCTTGCCACCTCCACTGCTGTCCGACGACGACCGTGAATCCCCCCGCTCAGCAGGCAGATTCAGTGTCTGACAAAAACATTAATTATTGTAACACACATAATTAATTAATAGCCAAATATAGTGTCTAGCATTGTGTAATGAAAGAATTGAAATTCTATAAAAATATAAATGATAAAAAATAATTACCCAAATTTTGTGTTTTCTAGCATGATTGGGGATGCCCTGTTTGCATAGGAAAATATATCAATAGTCATTGAACTTTTCTTTGGTTCCATTTTCAGGATTAGTAATTTTTGGTACAAAAAAATATAGTACCGGTATAATACATGCAGTGAATAAAAAATGCGGTAACTGGGTCAATCAGTACAAACAAATCTATTGAAGGTTAATTTTCCTAATTTTTTTTTATATGGGGGTTTACTTGTTAAGTAAATTAGAAACAATAAATTTTAAACTTTTGGTTTTTTAGTGGTTGGTTGAGTTAAAGTATAAAAAAGGGTACTTTGGTATTAAACGGATGCCACATATTTTACAGCGCGCTGCGGCGGTTATGTTAGGTACCCAACCTAACATAACCGCCGAAGTAAAAAAAAATACAAATATTTTATGTTTACAAACATATTTATGATAACCCATATCATAAATATGTTTGTAGGTCTTTCCTCGTTTCGTTATGAATCGAACAATACCAGATGAGCCATACTTTCTATTTATGATAACCCTACCTACCATAACCACCAAAAGGGTGCCGTATAATACCAAAAAAAGTTAAAGCAACTTAACAATCTTCAACTTTTTGTGAAGAAAAAATTCTAAAATCACAAATCAAACATCAAAAACTATACTTACCATAAATACATCGTCGTCTCCTACATCTGGAATACATCGAGGGATTCCATGAATTCCTGGAATAAATAAATAAATAGGTCAATCTTAAAGCCAAATATTGAGTTTTAACTATCAGTTAGGTTCTAACTACTTTTTGGTTTTATTTTACCTGTCATATAGTAACAGTATTTATCAACACTTGGGCTAATTGCTATCTTGGGCTAATAGAGGTATATTTTCAATGATCTAACAAAAACGTTATTAAATACTAACTTTGCTTTTAAAATAGACATGTAACAGAAATTCTTACTTTTTTGTGATGGGCTCTAAGCCACGATTTGGAATTTTTGAGGGGTAGAGCAAGCTTATCTTTGTTCAGGATGAGTTCACTCTATGCATAAAAGATTAGTCTATATAAAATAATAACACAAACAAATTGAAAGACTTAATGGCTAGGGAACTTTATCATCTGGAGAATAACTCAAGAAAGTCATAATCAGTAACTTAGGCCTAACTTCAAAATATTTTAATTTCCTTGAATTACTGTTCAGGCTAGCAAACAGAAATCTTACAAAAAAGTAGGAAGTCTTAGGACGAGTTTTTCACTTAAAGAGTAATCGAAAACGAAAAGAGATATCTCAACCAAATTTGGCATATCATTACTGGTAATAGTAAGCTACTTTAATGTGTATACATGACATGCAAAATTTGGTTGTGATATCTCTTTTAGTTTTAAAGTTATAAAGTCGTCCTAAGACGTAAATGTCACCCTGTATATTTTATGGAGGGAATAATTATAGTAAACTTTAGAAATACTAAATGAACAACTCAAAATGTTGACATAACAAACTGCACAATGGTTTCATTCTTTAACATAACGTTCTCTTAAATACTTACAAAGATGATGTCACCATAAGCAGCATAGGATAAGAACAAAATAAATTTATTATATCAATTTGAACCCCTAATCATTACCCTTAATTGTTCAAGATCAAGCTAAAAGCTTGCAGTTGTGTTGCTTACGATACGATAGTGTAGCAAAGAGTTAAAAAAATATTGAGAGGCAAGCGAACAATGAGCAATTAAAATAATAATATAGGTCCTTGCACTATAAGATTTGGTATAATACTTATTACACAAGATTCTAAAATATGTAATTGAATTACAGTAGAGAGTCGATTATCCCAAACAACTGGGGATTGCAGGTGTTTGGATAGCTTGTTATTTTTTGGATAATGGGTCATTGGCAGTAAAAAATTAGATAGCCTACATTATTTTGACTTTAAATGATTACATTTAAATACATTTTTTCATGTATTTTTACTGGTTTTGATTGTCTAATGCGATTGTAGCAACATTCATGAGCATATCTCATGGACTCAGTGACAGAGGTTATTGTTTGACGTGATTGCAGCAACATCTGTGATCTTCTCTCGCAACAGCAGCAACATCGGTGATCGGCCTTCTGGTTAACCGATGTTTCAGATGACTGGGCTTTGGATAATCGACGCTCTACTGTATATATAATTAATAAGTAAAATTACGCAATTTTTCAACATAGTTGATCTTTTTAAACTTGTTTTTAGTTTAAGTTATAGATTTTGACAAAAAAATCTGAAAACATTTTTTTTTATAATTTCACTGATGGAAA